AGTATACTTACATATCTTAGAAAGCAAAGATTATTTGGATGCTAATTGTTTCTCTGCTGACTTGTTTAGTTTTTTGTTTTTTTGTTATCTCTCTTTTTTGGAATGTCATTTTCTTTTCTTTTTAAAAGAGTTGACTGCTGCTGTAGAAGCAAAAACTTGTCATTTAGAGTTGCTAAAACATATAAAAAAGACATTTCCCACCTATTTTGAAAAGAGTTCTTGTATTGATACAAGCTGGTTTGCTGACCCAGAATATTTAAAAACTGATCTGTAGGGAAAACTTATCTCTACAGATATTATTGTCATGTTGTTGGTTATTGTTATAAGAAAAACTTAACTTTTTATTGACTTTTTTAAAAATTTTCTTATAAGAAAATTTTTAAGAAAAGTGGTGTAAATGGAAAAGAGTTTTTTTTTTTTTTGTTTAATTTTATAAATAAATATACTATATATATATATATTTATTTATTTATAAAAATATAAAAAGTTTATTTTAAAAAGAAAATTTCTTTAAAATATTTGTTTTTTAAATTACTAAAAGAATTAATAAAAAAAGTTTTTTATAATTTTGTTTTATAATAATTTTTATAAAATTATTTGTTTTATGATTTTATTAAAAAAAAAATTTTTTTTTATTATTATATTAATATTTTTTAAAACTTATTTTATTATTTATTTATTATTTTTTAATAAAAAATATTACAATATACAATTTTTATTAAATAATTATACTTAAATATATTGTATTTTATAATTTTATATAAATTAATTTATAATTAATCTATATTTAAAACTCTATAATTTAATTATATTAATTAATATCAAATATTTTTCTCAAGCAATACTTTAAGAAATTGGTTTTCATTAGTATTATCATATACAATTTTACAAAAACAATCTAATTATTAATAATTTTAAAATAAAACTTATCAATTTTTGTTTAGTTTTTAGCAATATTCTAATTATAATATTTGATATTATTTAATAAAGTTTTTAATATAATATTATTGAAATTAAAAATAATAAGAAAATCTTTCAATCTGTATTAAAACATTTAAAAAATAATTAAAATTGATTTTTTTTTTCTTAATCCAAAAAATAAATTAAGTTATAAAATAAAAATTAATAAAAATAAAATATATTAAATTAAAATTCAAATTAATATTAATTAAAATTATTTAATAAAATAATTTTTTATTTTATTTTTCAAAAAATCTTTTAATTATCAATATTCATATAAACAATATAATTAAGTAATATAAGAAAATCTTTAATATCACTAGAAATTATATAATTTATAAAAACTTTTTAGTTTTTTAAATTTTTAGATAATGTTATATTCTATATAGTTTAAGAGTTATTATTCAATTTAACAAAAATATTAAAAAAATATATAATAATAACTATAATAATCTAATAACATTTAGAATCAAATTATTTTTAGATATTTTTTTGACTTGTTAAATATTTATTAATATTAACTAAACCAATATCCATATATATATTATCCAAATATAAATTTTGTATTGAAAATATTCAATATATCTTCAAATGCTCTAAAGTTTCAAAAAAAAATAATTAAATTATAAATACTATTAATTAAATTTTTTATCTAGATAACAATCTTAAACTAATTTTCTATATATGACAAATAATAGAATTGTTATGTAATAAAATTATATATGTTACTGAAATTTATAAATTCTTAATACAATTGATACAATTATTTGATACAATTAATTGAGTCACTATTAAAATATATAAATAATTGGGACATGGTGCGATTATTTTTAAAAATTTTTAGAATTAAATTAATAGCAAATAATATATATTATATATATAAATATAATTAACAAAAATTTTTTATAACAAATCTCACTAATTGAATCAAAATAATAATAAAATTTTAGTTTAATTATATAATTTAATTTAAAAATCATATTGTAACATGATCAATATTTTACTTTTACTAGTATTAAATAAAACTCAAATAAGCTATTTGATATAGCTAACTTATTTAAATTGGAGAGAAGTTATATTATTTCTATAGAAATTTTATATTTTAATAATATTCAAAAAGAAATTATTATCAACTTATTTATAATAGTTATTAATTCTTTTATTCAATATAAATACAATTACTTTAAATATATTTAAAATCTAATATTATAACTATCAAATATTATTTTCTCTAATATTAAGTAGGTATTTATAATTGCTTAGTACTATATGACAAAATATATTGTTTTAAACTTTCATTTAATATTAGTTATATACTGTAGTTACTATAGGCAAGCTAGTATTTAATCCATTGTATTAATATATAAGAGATATTGTTTTTTTTATAATATTTATTTTGTTATATACAAATTAAATAAAGAAATAATATTTATCTATAAAAAAAAATTAATTAATATTAAATAGATAGGTAAATATATTAAATAAAATATATTAAATTTTTTAAAAAAATTTTAATAATAATTTTATTTAAAGAAATATTTTTTATTTTTTTTTTATATTAATTATATTATAAATCTAAGAATATAAATTTTAAAAATTATTATTATATCAGAATAAGACCTCTGATTAAAGATCAAATAAGTTTAAAAATTTTATTTGTTTTTAATTATATAGAAAAAATTTTTTTTTATAATTTTATTTATATACTATATATATATTTTATTAAAATTTATCAGTATTATTCTTATAACTATTCTTAATATTATAAATTTATTTTTAAAGTTATATTTAAATAAAGTTATTATTAAGTCTTTTGTTTGTTTTAATTAAACTTTTTCTTTCATATTTTTATTGATTTACAATATTATACTATTTATTGATTAAATAATTTTTTGAAATAATTCTTATAACAAAAACAATTTTTTTAAAAATATTTTATATAGTAAAAATTATTTATTATTATTTTATAGGCTAAAATATAATATATAGTATATTTTATTTATATTAAATTTGTAATAAATAACAGTATTAACAATACTACAGTATATTAAATCGAATAAGAATTTTTTTAATTTTTTAATTAAAAAAAAAAAACTATTGGTGAAATCTCGATGTTTTTTACGCCACACTGTAATTAACTTGCTTACAAATAAATAAATAAATTATTATTATAACTGAATTTTTTCCCATTAAACAAACAAATAAAATCACAAACGCTATTTGTTGTTGTAACAATTATAAACAATTATAACAATTGCACTTATGAATAAGAAAAAAGAATTAACGATTCACATGATATTAGCAAATTTCTTCGCCTTATCGTTATTTATGTGCTTCCACAAGTTTAGTCTTGGCACTCATCGATTTTTACATCCAAATTCCAAATATCTTTCTGTTCTAATCAATCATTACGTGCAATGGTGTACCACCATTTGGAACATCTTCGTAACCACAATTAGGTTTGTGTAATCTAATTATAACCATATTAGAGTAAATGACAGTAATAGAAATTAATTTATGCATAATTACACTGGCCAATCGATTCGAATATCAAATTACTGAATGTAGATATACACTGACCTTCACACAGTGAAAAAATCTTTTTTTTTTTTTTTTTTTTTTTTACGGTTTTGTAAGAAAAACATACGCTTCGTGTAAAAACAATTATCATGCGCTTAATTTAGTAGGAGAGGTTGTGATAATTGATCTTTAATAGATTCATTGTTTTTCCGATTTTTTTCGTTTTTCCATGATTTATTAAAGGTCATTATGTTTTCCGAAAGTTAAGGTTTAATATATATTTTCACATTACTTTTAAAAATTTTCTTAATCGCTTACTAATTAATAATTTCCATTTAAGGTTGAAAGTGGACCCTGCTACAGAAAACATTGCTTAAATGGATTATTTCGAATAACTGTTTTATTCATCAAATTACTATCATTTCTCATATTTGCAAGTGCGACCGACATTTCGAGAAATGAATTTATTAGTTCAACATTCATTGCAATTTAGCTTTTTCTTCAATAGCACCAATTGATTTGAGTTCTAGTAAGAATTTAGGATTTAGAGGGAAAGCAAGTGTGATTTTTTAATACACCAATTGAAACAGCTCTTTTGAATAGTTGGATGGAAACAAAAATGCATCACACGGTTCATGGAGGTACAGCAATATATTAAATGCACCAACGACTATTAATTATTCTCCTTTATTGCAGATTAAAGGGTCACCACCCACTAATTATTATGTTGTATCTTATTAAGTTTGGTGGTATCTTAGATAACAACAGTCTTTCATTTAGTTTATTTTTTTCTCTTAAACATGTAACTACGAGTTCCAACCGATTAAAACTAAGATCAATTGAAAAAAATAAACAAAACTTTCTCATCTAAAGAAAAAAATTTTTTTTTCTTTCACCTTCTTTTTTAAAAATTTTTCTTGAACGAGATTACTATAATAGTAGTGGCGTCACGTTCTCTTGTTTTTAACGGTCGTGGAACTTTTGAGTTATTTTCTTTTCATCAACCTTTCAGACCCAAGGCTCTATTATTCATTTACCTTATCCATTTTTCGTCACTACTGTCGCGAACTTCACTACATCTACCTTTACCTTCTTTTTCAAAAATTAATTCTTTTCTTTTTTCTCTTTTAATAACAATAGTTTCCTTTAAAAAAATCACAAAAATTGTATTGATTTTGTATATTACTCTTTCATATTATCTACCATATCGGGCACTCTCTCCACCAGGCAAAAATCAACAATACTTTCGATATTAAAGACTGCGCAAGTGGGCTGGATCCCCCAAAACTCTTAAATGACTAACGCCAATAGCTAAAAAAAAACGAGAATCAGAAGCAGCAAAGAATAATCATCATCCAATCTTTTATTTCACCTTACTGTTTATACGATGGCTTTCAACAACGGGCCGGAAAAGACTTCAGTACAAGTCGGTACGTAAAAATTTTTTGGATAAAGTCAGGATGCTCATGACAAGAACGTGATTAAATCACAAAGGAAGTTTTATTAAATTTAAAATTAAAATGGCAGCTCTCCGAATAAGACCGATAGACCCCAAAGAAAAGCAATCGAGGTTTCAACGTCAAGTCATCACAACATCCTCGTCTACCCCAAATCAGGTGATCGTGCAAGGAGAGAAGAAGCAAACATTTAACTATGACTATGTGTTTGGTCCTGAGGCTGAACAGCAAGAAGTCTATCAGAATGCGGTGGAGAAATTGGTTGATCAGTTTTTGGAGGGTGAGTTTTTCATTTGTTTACCTGTGGTTGAAGGAAAACACATGTGATATATGATGCGGTGGCTAAAAATTATTTAAAATAAGATTTTATTTTATGGTTGTTGTGTGCGGTATCCTGAGTCGTGTTTTTCGCGAAATATATTTATCGTTAATAGGAATGATTTAATTTCATGTGAAAAATGGTGAAGAGAAAAAGATCGTTCTAATTAAACTTCATGATATAAAACGCAGGATACAATGTAACGATTTTAGCCTATGGTCAAACTTCATCCGGGAAAACCCACACTATGGGCACCTCTCACAACTCCTCAATTCCATCAGAACAAAAAGGCATCATCCCTCGTGCGATGTCCACGCTATTTTCCATAATGAACTCACCACAATTCAAATCGCGAAAATTTGCCATCAAGGTTTCGTTTATTGAGATCTATAACGAGGAGTTAATCGACCTGCTGGCCGACTATTTACCGGGAACTGATAATTGTAAGCCACAGGTCACCATCAGGGAAGATTCAAAGGGAAACATCCTTTGGAGTGGCTTACAAGAGATTAGAGTTAATGGCGTTGATGAGCTTATGAGGTGAGACTAAACATTTATTATGATTCATTTATTATAATTGTTTTTTTTTTTATTTTTAAATGTTAAGCAAACTTATGTAATCTTTCGCGTCGAAAGTCATCTCGCTCGCGGGTCATTAAACCGTCAAGTCGGGGCCACGGACATGAACGAACAGTCCTCTCGTTCGCATGCGATTTTCTCCGTGACGATGTCACAACAAAAGTCTAATGGCTCTACTAATTCAGGTTTAAACTCACCGGTCAACTCAAACTCTTCGAATAATGGATCAGATAGTAGACCGTCGACACCTTCAAAAATCATGAGATCAAATTCGAGGGCGACGTTGAGAGCGAGCAGGAGATTCGAGGAAGGAGAGTCAATTTCGATCACTAGTAAATTTCATTTCGTGGATTTGGCTGGCAGTGAAAGGGTGTGCTCACGTTTATTTTTCAGTTATTTATGTTTCCTTATCGATTTCGCCATTTCGCTCACCTGATTTTTTTTTTTCATTTCATAGTTAAAACGTACATCGGCAATTGGTGAACGTGTCAAAGAAGGCATTTCAATTAACGCTGGTCTTCTTGCACTCGGAAATGTCATCTCGGCGTTGGGAGACCCCACAAAGGCAAGACATACCACTCACATTCCTTACCGAGATTCCAAACTCACCCGCCTCCTTCAAGATTCATTAGGCGGGAACGCACAAACCCTTATGATAGCGTGTGTGTCGCCTACTGAATGTAATCTTAACGAGACCATTAACACGCTAAAGTATGCTAACCGTGCGAGAAACATCAAAAACACTGTGACCGTAAATAGCGAAGAAGTAGGGTGGAATGACTTGGAGCATTTACAGATGCTGGTGTTGAAACTGAGAACTGAGATTAAAGCGTTGAGAAACAACGGGGGTAATAATGAAGCCAGCAACGGTGCAAGTCATATTAGCAGTAGTAACGGAAGTGGGAGAAGTACTCCAACTCACATGAATGGTGGTAACAACGGAAGTGGAAGAAGTACTCCAACATATATGTATGGTGGACCTGGTTACGGGCCTCCAAAGAGGTTATCAAACTCTTCGCTCAGTATCGTCACGGATGCTAACGGAGACACCACCTACTCTGTTAATTCACCAAACGTTTTACCCGCATCCGCATTACAAAGTCAGTCCAATAAAGATATCGAACTTTTAGAAGAACAACTAATGGAGTTGCAAAGATCGTATTCCGAACTTTCGCAAAAATATGCAAAAACTACCGCCGAACTTGCCATGCATCAGGAAAATGCTGATGGCGTTTCCTCTCGAGGTTCATCAGATGGATCTACACACAGTCAATCCTCATCAATCTCATCGGATCAGCCTCTCACTCAACTCGAATCCATCACCGAAGAAGATGAAGAACACAATAAAGATCAAAGTCCCTTTTTCTTATCAGAGGAGTTTCAAAAAGCTGTCGAGCCGGTTATAGAAGAATATGAAAAGTCCATATCAAACCTCGAGTCGCAACTCGCCCTAAATCGTGCAGCAATCTATCACACAGAGACATTGATGCAAGAACAAGAACTTAAACTCGAATACGCCGAGAAAATAAATGAGCAGAATGTTAGTCTGATCAATGACCTTCGTAACAAAATCTCAGAGTACTGTAACAAGGAATCCGTTTCAGAAGCATACATTAGAGGGCTCGAGACGAAGCTGGAAAAGTATGTCGAAGAGCAGGAACGAGATCAAGGAATGATAAAGGAGCTGAAGACCAAAATCATGCAAATGAAGACCAATGAAGAGAATAGCAACGGTTACATTAGGGATGTGGAAAGTCGGCTAGAGACCAGTGATCAGAAAGTGGAAAAATTCGAAAAAATAGTGCAAAGGTTAGAAGAGCGATTGGTTCAGCGTGATTCAGAGTTTGCGAAATTAGAGGCGAGGATGAGGTTATCTGCTGAAGAAGAACGAAAAGCATTAAATGAGGAAATTGAAAGTAGAGATGCTAGGATTATGAAGTTGGAAGAGAGGGTCGACGAACTTGTAAGTGAGTTGAACTCGCTAAGGAGAATTCAAAAACGGGCGAGCATCGTCGTAAATGAAAGATCGTTAAAAGAATCATCTTTGGGTGAATCAAGTTCTCCTCGGTCAGTGATGCCTGACTCTTCGACGGCTGAAAATATGGCAACGATTGCCCTTGAGTCGAAACTGTTAAGCCTACAAAAGACTCACGCGAAAACAGTGAGTGAAGTATCCGAGATAAAAACAAAATACGAAGAATGTTTGTATGAGATTCACGAATTACAATCCCAACTTACAGAAGCTCGACTTTGTGATTCTGAATCATTTGATGGCAACACATCTTCTGCACCCACTACCCCGTTAACACCAATGTCTCCAACACTTCCCCAATGTAAACCGAGAATACACAGTTTAATTTGCAATAATAGTTTAAATTCTCTTAGGATGTCGCTTCCTGCAGCCCTTAAATCTAATGAAAACACTGAATCACCACTAATTCTTAGCAAGAATGTTGCATTAACTTCATTAAAAAAATCCTCTCATCGGCGCGCAAAGTCTCTAACGCCCGAGATTCGTGACAAAGAAAAGCGTGATTTGGCGCATATGACAATTGTCCAGATGCTACAAAAGGAAATGAAGCAATTAGAACTGATGCATGAGGAGAAATCACAAGGATTGGATGAGATCAAAAAAGAGTTTGCGAAGTTAGAGTGCAATCACCGTGAAACTCTGGAAATCGTTGAAGAATTAAGAGAAGAAATTAAAAGACGTGATGCTATCGCACAATTGGAGGTAACCTCTGTTATTAGTGCGGACTACACTGACAGAGGATTTTCTGTAACCGCAAGTGAGTTAGATGAACACGAGATCATATCGAGGCTAAGAGAGGAATTGGAACGTTTGAGAGAAGAGCAAAGGAGGACCCTGGAGATCATTGAACAGAAAAAAGAGGGAAGCAAAAATTCTGAGTTACACATCGAAAAGATTGAAGCCGATTTAAGAGACCTAAGAGAGAAGTTAAAAAATATTGATGAATTGGAGAATAATAAAGAAAATGCCGAAGAATTGCAAATGAAAGAACAAGAATTGGAAAAGCAACTTGAAGAAATGAAACGAGAACGAGAACAACAAATTGAGGAAGATGAAAGAGTTTCTCTGGACGAGAAATCTGAGGAATATGATAGTGAAATACAAGCAACTAAGATACTGATCGAGAAATTGCAAACAGAAATTGAAGCTAAAAGTCATACTCTCGCCGCGCTTTTACTTCCCTCTGTCGAACACCAAGATAAAATAAAAAGACTTGAAGATGAGCTGCAAGAAGCTCGACAAACTTATCGTCTCGTGATTGATGAAAAGATCGGTAAATTGACCTCAACTGTGGAGGCTAATTCCAAGGAAGAACCGTCGAACGATTCTGACGTCAGTGGAAGCCCATCGGTCACTTCAGTGAAAGTTGAGGAGTTGCGTGATGAACACGAGAATAAGGTAAAATTCTTGGAAGAAAGGGTGAAGAACCTCGAACTTCAGTTGCTGGAAGCAAAAGAGGAACAGAAAAATGCGATTCCAAAAAGCTTATGTGTAATCGAACCGACTCAAAAGACTATTGAAATGCTCGAAGAAAATTTATCGGCACTCCAGAAGGAACTGCTAGCCAAATCCGAAACCATCGAAAACTTAAAGAGTGAATCAGAACTGGTTGCTGGACTAAAGACTGAGGTCGAGTTCCTGAAATCAGACATCAAAAGTAAAGGTGAACTCATTGAAGCCTTGAAGAGGGATCTGGCTGACAAGAGTAACATACAACAAAAAATTAATGAAAAAGAGGCTGAGGCGACTGCGCTGAAGGCACAGCTTTCAGAATTAAAGAAACGTGATGAAGAAATGGAAAGACAGGTTCAAGAGCTTCGAATAGAACTGGAAAATCAAGATGTTATCAAGGGCACAAACAATGAACTTCAATCGGAATTGGAAGTCGTCAAACAACAACTTAAAGTTGTTAAGGACAAAGAAACTTTTGCATTGGAACGATTAAGAATATTAGACGCTGAGGAGATTAAACTGCAACAAGAAATAAGAAGACTAAATGATCTCGAGGTCACGCAGAACGAAAGAATAAATGAGTTAGAAGCTCACTTGCTGCAACAGGATGAACTTGCGAAGGATTTTGATGGTCTGCAAAACGAATTAGCTTTGGCCAAAGAATCAAAATCTTTGCAACAAAAAAAGATTGCGGAACTCGAGTCTCAACTTGAAAATTCGCAACGTGAACATGAATCTTTGGAAAACATGATCAACGATTTTAAGTTTAAAGTATCGGAGCAACGTAAGCAAATCCAACTTGCGGAAATGCAGATAAGCAATGATTCAAACAATAACGCAAAAGCGATCGAGGCGTTGAATGTTGAGATCGAAAAGATGCGCGAACAAGAATCCGAACAATGTAAAAAAATCGAAAAGCTCGAAGGTCAACTGGAAGAAGTTCAACAAAGAGAGAATTCTAAAATTAGTTCCATCAAAGAAGAATTATCGACTCTGGAAAGTGCTAAATCGGAACTTGTAAAAACTGTTGAGGAGTTGGAGAAGCAACTTTCCGAGGCCAAAAAAGAATTGGAAAAGTCAGAAACAATCAGGGACGAGATTAAATTGTTAAAAGAGTTGGAATTGGAACAGAAGAAAACAATTGATTATTTGAAATCTCAACTAGATGAAACGGTTAAAGAAAAAGAATTGGTTCTTAAAGAAGTGGAGATTTTGCGAAAAGATTTTGGATTGCAAAGAGAACTTGTTATCGTACTTGAAGAGGAGTTGAACCTGATTAAGGAAGAACTGAACAGGTCAAGGAAAGAAAATCAAGAATCAGAAAAGAAGATTGAAGAATTATCGAAGATAATGAAGGAAACTTTGAGGCAGCGTGAAGAAGAAGAGAGTAAGACAAAAGCTTTAGAAGAGCAAATTTTAGAAATGAAAACGACAAACAAGTCTAATGACGTAAATCTATCCAAGCTTCAACGAGAATTATCGGATGCCAAAGACCATAAGGAAATTCAAAACGAACTTTTAGCGAAACTTAACAGTCAGATTATTGTTCTGGAGAATGAAAGAGACAAACAACTTGAACGCGAAAAAGAATTGACTAATGCGCTTGAAGCAAAGGAGATAGAGCAAAGGGAAGCTGTCGAGGCCCTCGAATCGATAATCAGTGGCCTCAGGGATCAACTCGATGAGGTCAAGAATTCTTCCCAAATGGACATGGAAACCATATCTGATCTCGGAAATAAGCTCGCGGCCGTCGGATCTCAGTTAGACGAATCAAGGTCATTGGAAGAATCGCAATCTCAAATAGTGATTGAGCTTGAGGTTAAATTAAAAGAGACCAACGCTGCAATAATTGAAAAAGAGGAGTTGCTTATGTCCAAAGATGCTCTTCTTAAAGAATTACAAGCAAACGCCGAAAAAGCAAAGATTCAACTTGATAAAGCCAAAGTCTCAGAAGCAATGGAATCCGATCGCGCAAAAAAACTTGAGGTACAACTTTACGGAATTCAATCAAGGTTACACGATCTATCTCCCACGGAATATGAAGAGGCCAAACCAACAAAATTCGTAATGGAAGTAGAATTCAAGTTAGTAACCTCGGACAACATTGAAGAGTTGAAATCGGTGCTCGTCGAAATAAAAACAGAACTTGAAAAGGCTAGAGCAGCCGAAGCGGAACAAGCCGAGATCATTAAAACTTTGGAATTACAACTTCAAGAAGCGGATAGATGTCGAGATGAGGAAATTTCTAAAGTGAATTCTGCTACGCTCGAAGTCGAAAGACTTAAGGAGCAGTGCAAGAATTTACGACTCGAGCTCGACGATGCTCATAAGGATTCTTTGATTGCAGGTTTCCAAAAAGTTGACGTTTCGATAGTTGAAGACCTCTCGAAACAATTGAAGAAAGCGAATAGGGAAGTTAAACATCAACGTGAACGCGTCGATGAACTAGAAAAGATTACTAAACAACTTGAATCTGAGAAAAAAGACAAAGAAAAGCAAAATGAAAATCTTTTGCAACAAATTGAAGAACTCCAAAAAAAAATCGAATCAATAATTGATGAATCCTCCGATTCCATTGATACTGATGCAATATCTTCAATTCGTTCTTCGATAAGTGAATCTGCTACTAGTCCAGCTTTTTCGAAACTGACAGCGGCGAATGAAAGTTTACGCAAAACAAATGAAACCTTAAATCTCAAGATTCTTCAGGCTCAGTCCAGAATGACCGTTCTGACTCAAAGAATAATGAGTTTAGAACATGATCTTAAGAATCTCCAATTTGTTAGCAAGGAAGATCTTGATGAAAATTCAGTCTTACAATTTAAAGAAAAAATTGCGGATCTCGAAGCTGAAAAAGAAGGATTGGCACAGGCCAACGCAAATTTCTCCGAAGAACGCAAGAAGTTTAATCAAAAAATAGAATCACTATTAGAGCAATTAGCACTGTCTGGTAAAGGTGGAAATAGCACGGCTGCACAGTTTTCCGAATTAAATGGAAAAGTCCTTGAGTTAGAGAATGAAATTTCCGATCTAAAGCAAAAATCTATGGCGGAAAATCAAGAAATGACAAAAGAGATTGCAAGATTGTTAGAGATTAATGAAAAACTCGAAGGGGAAAAGAAAAAGGTTGGAGAAAAACCCCTTGAAGGTCCAATTTCAAGAATCGAACCAGTACGCACTCAAGGTTCAGATGATCTAATGCACGCGAAACTTTTATCCCAAGAAAGCACTATAATACAACAAAGCAATCTCATCAAGGCCCTTCAAGAGAAGATAATAGAGCTCGAACTTCGTGGCGATGCGGACTTGATAAATGAGTTGAATCTTTCTAATGGTGGAATGTATGTCACAGACCTTGAAGCGGTTGGTGGCTTCCGTGCTTCCGAAGCGACAAAGAAGAAACGATCAGGAGTTTCGGCAATAAACTTACCGATGACACCTCCGTCCACACCACCACCAAGTTTACCCTTACCATCCCTGCCAGCATCGATTGGTTCTAACTCAGGTTCACGATCATCAACGCCTGGATGCGTTTCGCCACCTCCACGAAGTAATTCTGCATCAAGACCCGGTTCAAGGACAGGCTTTGTAGATCTTGCAAATGCTTCTGCTGTGGAACTTTCAGTAGAAATTCACAAGCTGCATCGAAAAATTTCTAAAATGGAAGAGGAAAATCTCGAAAATCGACAACAAGTCGAGACCCTGGAAACTTCACTTTCAGAAAATGAAACGAATCTTCGCGTGGCCAAACAACAGTTACAAATCTTGCAACGCGAAAAAACGGAATTGCTGGATCAGATCAAACGTCTAAGGTCGCAGTTAGATGAGACTACCACTCAATTTGAAAATGCAAAATCGTCCGTACAAGAAGAAAAGAAAGTCATAGAAACAGTGCTGGAGGAAGAAAGAAGGGCTAAAGAGAGCGCCGAAAAAGCCAGAAGACAACTTGAAAATCGTATGGAAGAACTTATAGCAAGGAAAAGCAAGTTTATGTGCTTTTAAGATTCAACCCCATGTTTTCGACGCTTCAGTTTATATTGTAATTTTAATTTGAACTATATTATTTTAATAATCACATTCATTTCCTTTGTACAAAAAAAAATTTTTTTTTGTATTTTTTAACGACATTTGATTTCTAATCTTTTAGCAAATTTCATTCATTTATTATAGATAATCATCATAATATAAGCTTTAGAGTTTATGTATATTTTATCTTTTAATTCCATTCTTAATCTCATTCATCATAATAAAAATGTTGCATTTCTTGTTTCTCTGTACAGCAAAATAATCAATTTTCAAATTGCTTTCATAAATTTAAAACAATGTTCTGATGATTTGCTTAACTAATGAATTTCTGAATTGCGCAGCACAATACACCAATTTTCTTTGAAATTGTATCGTCGAATCCATTAATTCCAAGTTGGAAAATCCAAAAGACATGATAAGTGTTACATTATAATTTTCAAAGAAAGATATTCAACCATTACAAGATTGCCTGTACCTCAATAAAATACATTACAAATTACTTATTCTCGAAAAATGGATGTGGAAGAGGTTTAACTTGACGTTCTTTTAAAAAATTTAATAATCGATATTCATATCTTCTTATCTGCATCACGATGAAAAAACAATGTTTAATTGGTAAACCAAACCCTACCAGACATATATAACAATATACAATATAAAGGGAGAATTTGTACCTTTACAGCCATCTTATTATCGTTTTTTTCTGATACAACCTTTCTTGTGAAGATAGTAAACATCCCGTTCATATTTCCGAACAAAACATCAGTGAGCAGACGATCGCCAAT